CGGCCTTAGCTATTCGTGAGGGCAGCACTGTGGCTGTGTGTCATCTGGAGGAGGCGAAGACAGCACTGTCAGTATCAATATTGCTGCAAATGAGCATATAAGATCATGAGCAATTTTTAGTGTCAATAGTATTTGAGTATCTTTTTCTTTTTGACGACCCTAGATCACATCACTGAACCTGAGAAGACGTCAGAGACACACTTGCTGAATCCATGTCACCAAAACGCAAGTGATTACCACAAAGAAACAACACCAACAGGTTTTTGTTCTCACACTAACAATGTACACTATGAAGTACATTATGAATTTGAATAAATAACACAGAGAAAACAGGAAGTCCTTCCATTTTAACAGTCACAGCCACTAAACTGAAACATTTCTGTTTGTTGCCAACAAATCTGAAGCAGAGTGAAGATTAGGCAAATTAGACCAATAATGGATTAAAAAGCCTGTGTGTGGATTGAGACAGGATTTTAGAACACAGTTAGACACTTATGTTACTGTATAGCTTGAATTGAGACTTGTCTAACATCAAACTGGATCAGAGTTCTGACATCCACAAGTGAAACTCTGTCTGCCAGGGAGCATTTTATCTTGATGCACTGATCCAGTATTTGGATCGCGAATGGGTCAAATCCTGACTCAAAAACCTGGATCACATATTGGTGACCTGGGCTGGCCCATTTAACTTAGTTGTCTATATGTAGGCATTTCACACCTGTGATGCTGACATTTACGGCTGCAACGATTCATCGAATAATTCGATTTAAAAGAAACTCTTGGCATAAATTCTTTGCTTTGATGTTTCGTTTTAATGCACAGCTCAGTAGGCGCCGATGTGTTAAATGATGTAAATGCGAGGGTTTCATCCACATTTGCTGCTAAAACAGACCTGAAATACAAACGTATTCAGGAGCAGTGTGTGAGTAAGAAGTCTGACGTCATTAAGCCCACAGAGCCCTAGATTTAAACAAAACCACCGATAACAACAGCAGCAGGAGAGAGATGGTGAAATCAGGTAGCATGGAAGAAAACGTGTTTCTAACATCCAAAAACAGCAGCGCTGTTCCTGAAATCACCATTAAAATTTTTACTGGGAAAAAGCTAGTGAGTCTTTTATCAAACCACCTGATGAGAAAACTCTGACGTGAAGAAAAACAAACTTTGTAGCTGCTCCATCGAAACTTCGTTGTTTCACACAGAGAAACATCTGCAATAAGCCCCCAGAAGTTGCATTAATATGCAGATGAACAGTTAACATACAATGTGCTCTGTGAGCTATGTAAACTAACTGGATATCTTGTTTTGACAATCACCAAGCTCAAATGAAAGGGCAGAAAACAAAGCACAGAAAAATGTCAAATAAACCAGGACCACAAATTTTAAATATTCTGTCTTTTTTACTTGTCTGTTCAAAAGGGTTGTGCATCCTGTAGTTCATCCCTACACGGGCTTGGATGAGAGAATAAGAAAATTAAAAAACAACAACAACAAATGTGGCTAAAATCTAATCTTCTTACAAGTAACTTCAAAACAACTACATCTAATCATACAAATTCATACGAACAGGGAGAAACTATGAATGAAATCTCAGCCATTTGGGCTGAGCTCTGATTTTGCTGTGGGAGGCATTCCGTTGGTATGTTTTGGGACCATGCAAGCCTCACTCCAAATCAAGACAAGACATCTTTGAGGATCAAAAATGTCTGAAGATGTTCTGGTGATGTTCACATGTGAGGCTAACACCTTACTGAGACACTTTTACATTTGTCTCCTGTCTACACCATTTCATTTTCACTGTGAGTTCATAGACTGTGGGTTATACTAACTCACATTCATTCATTGACAGTTTGTATTAATAAACTAGCGTCCAATAATTCCTCACTGGCCCCTTCTCCTGCACGCCAAGTTCACACCTCCACTTATTTGTTCCGCTCAAGCTTAATCAGCAGCTGGTATCCACTCTTATCAGGAGCTCTGACAGAGTCACGCTTAAGGCATCCAGCATCAGTGACGCTGCAATACAAGTTTGACTCTTTGCCAATGGGACGAGGAGAGCGCTCGGGTACTGATAAACATACCAACTCAACAAATAACAAGAACAGAACAAAGTCCAATTCCGAGCTTGCCTGCAAGAAACAATGACGGTCAGTGGTGATAAATTTGATTGATGATTTTAATTAACTGGTCCCAAAGTACAAGGCAATCGGTCAAACCCAGAGGTATTCACAGATATAGACACAAAAGCGTCCACCATTACATAAACTAAGGTAGCTTTTTTAAAATAACACAGGCTTGGTGACACAGCTGCAACTGGATGGGCGTGATTTGTAGCAGCCTGACTGTGAGAGAGCTGCTTTCTGCTGTACTTAGTAATAACTATTTATAACTTTAAAACAAACAAACAAAAAAAAAAAAACATCTATTCAATGAATGGTTTTTACTTTTAAGTATCACATATTATTTGAACTGTTCCACATTTTTAAGGTTAAACATTACTGGGGATGAGGAAAGAATTGATACAGGACAGTAATGTGATATTCTGCATTGCAAGGTTATATTGATATAGGGACAAAATCAGTATTTTATTAAATAAAAGTAAAATATTTTGGGAATACTATGAAGAAGAGGTCACAGTTTTACTTGGACTGACAGCAGTCACTCTCAGTAAGTTTGCAAATGGCTGCTGTTTAGTTTATAAATGTAGACAGATTGCCAACATGTTGCCATGAGTCTGAACGAGTCTTTACCAGTGAACACAGTTCGACTCAACTCAACTGGCTGCCAGCTAGTTGTATTCTGGTTACATTCCAAAAGAACAGGAAGGTTATCGAGCGCAAATGTAATATTTAAATATGAATTTCTGTCTGTGTAGACAGCAACAGGTGTGATTTTCAATGATTTATCACAGTTTACTGCTGTATTATCAGAAACAGTAGATGTAATTGCCAACCTGACCCCATTCAATTCCAGACTGACAGCAGACTGAATCCATCTTATAGCAACAATTATACCAGGTGTTGCTATTGACGTTCTCATTTTGCAGCAAATAAATAAATAAATAAATAAATAAATAACTCAAGTGAGACAACTTTATTTTACTGGATAAAAACAAATACTAACAAAGTTCAACTTTGAGGAAATTATTTGCAGTCAAAAAAGGTCACAAATCATAATATATGTTATGGCAATACTCAGTATATCCCAAACAAAATGTTCAAAATTGCAATATCATCATATCATCACTGAGGTATTGTGATAATATTGTATCGTGGGGTGTCTGGTGATTCCGACCTGTATTAGAGCTTTATATAGAACAATGTATGTAAAAAATCTACTTTCGACTGCTTTCCTGTCACAAAGGCTTGATACAAAGAGTTGCCACAGCGGGTAGCTCCACGTTTGATGTCAGATGTTCTTCCTGACCCAACCCAAAAGAGGATTTATGTTGCCGGCTAAAATCAAACCTGTGCCCTTTCTCTTACCATTACACCATTGGAGACACATACAGAGCAGTATTAAATTACATACATTTTCTATGTATTTAATAATTGTGTGAATTAAAACATTTTCTTAAAGCAGGAACTATACAAGTAGCAGGAAACTTATAAAAGCAAATACTATTGTTCAAATAAATACATAGAATGGTTCTGCCATAACCCTATTTGATGGCCTCATGGTGAATACACTCTAAACAGTGGTCATAAATAGCTTCAAGAAACTATTAGTTAGTCCAAGTCTATGTAACACTAAACTGATCTTACATGGATACCTTTCAAAACAGATAAAAGATTTGATAATAACTCATTTATATGTCAAAGAATTAGCCTTGTTTATTACAAAACAAAGACACTATTCTTTTTACAAGGAAACCAAAGGCACTCTACACTGGTGTGGATTTAAATAAATCTACATGGTTTAAAAATGTCTTTGTTTTGTTACTTAATGCCACTGATTATCATATTAGTACATGCCACATTCAATAGGTGATTACATTTTATCATCTTAAGTGCATGGGCAGCCCATTTACTGAGGTGAAAGTACTTCTACCACCTGAGACTGTGAAAAACTAGAAATGCTCTCATTTTATCATGCCTGCTAAAAGCTTTGACCTTTTATCTGATTGTCTTACCCTCCTAACTTACAATTGTAACGCTGATAGTTAAGGCCTGCCTTTTATCTTATGATTTTAAAATTCAAGTGTTTTTATTCTTAAATTTAATTTTAATTTATAAATTTGATTTTTTTTAGCAAATATGACAGTAAGATATGACTAATATACGGGCTTGAACATTGTTTTTTTTTATTTTGTATCTCATGTTTATAATATTTTGATGTCGCAAATTTTTTATCTTTCAATACTAACTTAGTAAGTTAACTACTGAGTTTATTTCATCATTCATACTGAAAAGAATAACTTTTAAATGGTTACGTAGTTTTCCTCCAATTTCATTTCTTTTCCTTATGTGCTGTGAATCACAGTCGCTCGGGCCCAGCTGTTGACTCAAAAGCAACATTAGCGACTAACACTGCTAACAGCTAGCGTGACAAACCAAAATGACTGAGATTAGATAGCTGACAGTCGGTTGGATTCACTTCTCTATTACCAGCTAGCGCCTGAACTCAGTAGCCACAGTGGGAACGTTTTAGCTTCATATGAACAAATCAGCTAACAGAGGAGAACGACAACAACAGCTTCGGCTACCTGCTAAATTTGTCTGACACCGACTGAAGCTAAGCGCTACCACTAGTCGAGCTAACGGTAACCCAGAGCTGACCCTTTAGCTTAGCCACTTAGCCAGTCGGGTTACAAATATCGAGTTTAGCTGCTTTTGCCTCCCGTTTAAACCAAGGCCATGCCTAACTAATCGATGAAATAATAAATTAAATATTGCAACACTGCCACTACCTCTCTAAAACCAATTGTCTACACACTGTCCATGTTGTTGTTGTTGGGGGTTAGCATGGTTGGAATTCAGTGCTAAGTTGGGAGGGCTAACCTGAAGCTCGGCCCTCTCCACTTCCCAGTGCGCCCTCTCCATCTCGAACCGGGCCCACTCATGCTGGATGTAGTGCAGGATGCCGGGGATTGTGTACTGCTGCTGCGGCCGAGGTAGCTCATCGGGCTGGTGTGGTACCATGACTGCTCCGCCACCACCGCCTCCAATTGGCGGATTAGCACTACTGTTATTCCCCTGCTGCTGCGGTGGCGGAGGCTGTCGTGGGGCACTCGTTCCGACCCCTCCTCCGCCGGGGTGTTCGTCCATAATTTTTTTTTTTTTAAGTAGAAGGAAAGTCTCCACAGGCAGCAACGATCCGCGGAGGGATCCCCGCCCCCTAAAGCCCGTGTCTCAGCTCCGTCCCTGTCTCGCTGGCTCCGCCGTGTTGTGTAAAACTGGCTTTCCTCGGAGCGATGTGGTGCGCGCGGCTGATTGGGGACTTAGTGTTTTGTATAGAGCTAACCGGCCGCCATTGCTGTTCTCTCCCCCGACCTCTCTCGGATCCGATGGTCAAGGTGGGAGAACCCAGCCGCAATGCCTGACGGGACACATCCATCCTCCTTTTCCCTTCCTGCTATCCAAATATATTATGGAACCTTCACTGCTCAAAGAAAGGGTAGTAAAATATAACTCTTTAACGGAGCATATATTAAGATGTATAGGGAAATACATCAGTTTTACCTTTAGCTAGCAGATACATTGTGGTTATTGTCTATTGCTCATTTTAAGTACCACAACCACAACTTCTAAACAGCTGAATCTAAAACCCCGTCCAGGATCGTAACGAGCATTTTTAAACCGTGAGTACAGTACAATAAATTATGTACAAATTATGTATTATGCATCTTTCAAAGGAGAAAAATGCAAACGTTAATGGGATTTTCTTTTGGATTGTTTGCGTGGAATAATTACTCCCTCAGATGTCTTAAAGCTTATATTACGAGCATGTTTTGAAAGTATAAGTAGAAAGTACTTGCGTTCAAATGTAGGGAATAACTGTTACCCTGGAATGCACCTGTCTACGCATGCGTACCAAATGCTATGGCTGTATATTGTTGAATGTCCTCTTTCGCTGGTATTTATTTACCCTTACAGTACTTTACAGTAATCTTACTTTAATCCTGTAAACCGACAGCATTGTGTTTAAAATAACATTAGATTGGGGCAAAAACTCGTTAACAGAAGTTCCCGTTTTAGCCCGTTTGATGGAGTTAATGTAGCAACTGGCACAAGCTAACAGCTGGCGGTAAGTAAAACAAACGTTAGATTGCAATATCTCATACCACGGGGCAATGGTCTGTACTGATAATATCGACTTTACGATTCCTCTGCAGCCAGCAACCGATCGGATAATGATCAAGTTCGTGCTAATGGTGAACCGACAGGGTCAGACCAGGCTGTCCAGGTATTATCACTCTGTGGAGCTGAGCAGAAGAGCAGCTCTTGAGGCCGATGTAGTACGCTACTGCCTGAGCCGCAAGAAAGATCAGGTGTCTGTCTGCGAGTTCCCAGTCTTATTTAGATCAAATAAATAACATAACAATATCATGTTTATAACCCCTCTCTGTTTGCAGTGTTCCTTTGTGGAGTACAAAGACTTTAAATTGGTTTACCGCCAGTATGCTGCTCTGTATATCGTGGTGGGCATCACAGACAGTGAGGTGAGTGTGATCGGAGGTATTTTACACCTCTTTCGTCCTTTCAATGGTCAACAGGACGTGTTTCTCCTCTTTACTCTCACAGAATGAGCTGTCCATCTACGAGCTGGTTCATAACTTTGTGGAGGTCTTGGATAAATACTTCAGCCGGGTGGTGAGTTCAGTTTGATCGAGGTTCTTACAGAGATAAATACTGGTAGCCGCCAGTGCTACACCTCAGCATCCTAGTAGATGCATCTGTGGTAGAAATGTGAAAATCCTAAAAAGCCTCAGAACTTGAGGTCAAAGTCAAAATGACTAGCTATTTTGTACATGCACCTTTTGAATTGGTAAATTCTACCTCACTTCATTCTCGAGCTATACTGCTGAGGGGTGAAAACCATTGGATCCATTATCAGTGCAGGTCTAAGGCAGGTCTCAAAACTGGCGTCAAGCCAGCCTCCAGTTTGTTTTCTGTTCCCTGTGTATTCAAAGTATTACGGGAAGAGATGTAGAAACCTGACTTCAAAATATAAGCCAACTTCGAGTGAATTAACAGATATGTTAAGAACATAATAACATATAATTTAGTCTTGTTTACACACTCTAATGTTAGATCCACATGACACAACCCTGTATCCTAGTAGAGCCCTGTCAATATCAAGGCCATCTTATTTTGGATTCCAAAGTAAAAGCCCTGTGAATTTTCATTTTTGAACTACTCTTTCAATAGAGTAGACTAGAATAAAATAAAGCTTTATTATCCCACGGATGAGAAATTTCGGCGTTACAGAGCTCTTGCAGCAAGGGAAAATAAAATGTAAAAGGAAGACACAATGTGGTCCTATAAACATAAGCAACCGAAGTTCGTATATACAGGTATATACAGATAACAGTGTACAGAATGTGTATAGAAAAATTGGAAAATTGTACAGAGATATGTATAAAATGTACAGTAAACAAGCTGGTGAGTAAGATGACCAAAAGAATGTTAAGTTGCATTATAGAGTCTGACAGCTGCTGGTAAGAATGACCTGCGGTAGCGCTCCTTCCTACACTGTGGGCGTAAGTCTACTGCTGAACGAGCTGCTCAGTGCTCGTACAGTCTCATGCAGGGGGTGGGAGGTGTTGTCCATGATGGATGTTAGCTTAGACAACATCCTCTCCTCCCCAACCTGCTCGATGGACTTCAGTGGACAGTCCAGGACAGAGCTGGCACTCCTGACCAGTTTGAGTTTCTCCCTGTCCCTCTCTGCCATTCCGCCACTCCAGCAGACCACAGCATAGAAAATAGCAGACGCCACCACAGTGTCGTAAAACGTCCTTAGGAGTGTCCTGTTCACCCCGAAGGATCTCAGCCGCCGTAGCAGGTGGAGACGACTTAGACCCTTCTTGTAAAGTGCATCTGTGTTTGTGGACCAATCCAGTTTGTTATTGAGGTGAACACCCAAGTATTTGTACTACTCCACCATTTCAATGTCCAAACCCTGGATGTTCACTGGTGTAATAGTGGGTGGCTTCTTGCTGAAGTCAATCACCAGCTCCTTCCTCTTGCTGGCATTGATGCGAAGATGGTTCTGTTCGCACCAGCTGACGAAGTCAGTGATCAGTTCAATTACTTCAGAATGCTCTTAAAAGCAAAACTCATATTTCCAAAGACTAGTTGCACTTTATATCAACAGTATCCAACCCCACAGTGATACCATGTCAATTTCAAGTCAGTCTGATTTTGCCTTCCAAAATAAAAGCCATTTCAAATTGCCCATATATGACTTAACTTTCAATGATTTCAAAATGCTCTAAATAGGAAAATTCCTGTTTTCACAGGATAATTTTTCACCTTAAATCAACAGTGTCCAACCCCACAGTAAAACCATGCCAATTTCAAGTTGCTCTGATTTTGCCTTTTAAATTAATGGCCCCTTTGAATTTCCCCATATATGATATACTCTTTCAATTTCTTCAGAATGCTCTTAAAATGAAAATTGCTGTTTCCACAGGATAATTTCATTCTAGATCAACAGTGTACACTCTCGCGGGGATACCAAGTCAATTTCAAGTCACCTTGATTTTGCCTTTCAAAGTAATGGCCCGTTGAAATTGCCCATATATGACCCACTCTTTCACTGACTTCAGAACACTCTTAAAAGCAAAGTTGCTGTTTCCACAAGTTAATGTCACTCTATATTGACAGTTGTCATGTTCACAATTTTTGGAAGGAATCTCAGGAGAAAGGTTTGTCTTTTAAAAAAGGATTTACTTTGCTTTTGGCAGTTGAAATTACAAGTTTACACAGCGCTGTGGACCTCTATGTGAACCAGTAGCATGTTTCACAAAAAGGATGACCCTCAAGTGTGCTGTACAACATTATATAGTAAGACAAAAACATAGATTAAAGGAGCTATCTTCCTCCCGCACGGACGTGGCAGTCTTGGTGTCATCCTCGTATTTCCGTGACCTCGTCTGGTATCTGCTCCCTCGTCTGTAAGAGACAGAAAAGCAAAACACCTCTCTGCCTAGCCTTGATAATCTAATGGTATTATCCATTGTTCTTCTAGTGATTCAAAGTTGGTTTAGAATATCATGTTCGGCACTCTTTGACCCAGACTTATTCTAATCATAATCTATGTGTGTAAGCATGTTTGCAGTTATCCCTCTGCACCTCTAAGTCATTTCCAACAATATATCAGTCCGGTCAGTCACGTCGAACGAAGCTTTTGAAATTCAAAAGACTTAGTGCCAACTTATTATTGGGCACATTTGCAATGTGTGTATGAAAATGATTATAACCGCTTATTTTAGTAATAGAAATCAAACATTTTCAATCCCAACATTCCCTCCTTTCACACGTTTTAATGTGTGAACAAAAAACATGTTTCGTTCAGCCTGCTGTCCCACAGGTTCCCTCCAGAGTGATACTCAGCCTTTCAGCTTGTCCCTCTTAACTGGGATGGTGTCCTGTGGTCGAGTCAGCGCTAAATCAGCTGTCGTCCCCATTCAGTCGGTCAGATACTGGGTCTTCCAGACCGTCAGCCGGCCTCCTCATTGGAACGCATTAAACGAACACAGGCATCTTATCTTCTAAACACGATTCAGTTTCTTTTGATCATTAAAGCTTAAACACAAAATTGCAATATACATTTTGCCTTTCCTACCTCTAAACACCTGGGGGCAATTTATGTCTTGGTTCAGCCATGAAGCCAGCTCACCTGATTCATCACAGAGCCCAACCGACACTGGCAACTGATAAGGTCGCACTGCATGTTCTTCCCTTAGTGTCGCTGTTTTCAATCTGTTAATTGGAGTCCTCAAATATGGGATAGACAACATCCACAACAAGTCAATACAGCTGTGAATGTGGCCAGTTATCAGTCAATTACCAATCAATGACAAAATGATAGCTTTTAGCCACTCATCCAGAGGATCTTCAATCCCAGAAAATTCCTTCTCCTCATTTGATAATGTCTATCCTACTCTGTCAAAAGTTCAATTTTCAATTCAATTCAATTTTATTTATATAGCGCCAAATCACAACAAAAGTCGCCTCAAGGCGCTTCATAGATACAGAGAAAAACCCAACAATCATATGACCCCCTATGAGCAAGCACTTTGGCGACAGTGGGAAGGAAAAACTCCCTTTTAACAGGAAGAAACCTCCGGCAGAACCAGGCTCAGGGAGGGGCGGGGCCATCTGCTGCGACCGGTTGGGGTGAGAGAAGGAAGACAGGATAAAGACATGCTGTGGAAGAGAGACAGAGGTTAATAACAGATATGATTCAATGCAGAGAGGTCTGTTAACACATAGTGAGTGAGAAAGGTGACTGGAAAGGAAAAACTCAATGCATCATGGGAATCCCCCGGCAGCCTAGTCTATTGCAGCATAACTAAGGGAGGATTCAGGGTCACCTGGTCCAGCCCTAACTATATGCTTTAGCAAAAAGGAAAGTTTTAAGCCTAATCTTAAAAGTAGAGATAGTGTCTGTCTCCTGAATCCAAACTGGAAGCTGGTTCCACAGAAGAGGGGCCTGAAAACTGAAGGCTCTGCCTCCCATTCTACTTTTAAATACTCTAGGAACAACAAGTAGGCCTGCAGAGCGAGAGCGAAGTGCTCTAATGGGGTGATATGGTACTACAAGGTCATTGCGACCTGTCCAGGGTGCAGGGTATGGTAGCTGGAATAGCAACATACCCAAGGATAAGCAGAAGAGAATGACTGATATGATGAAACTGGGATTTTGTTACACTTAATTATTGCAAACACAACTAAAACTATAACTGAAACTAATCAAAACTAAACTGAAACTAAGGATTTTCAAAAAAATAAAAACTAAACTAAACTAGCAAACAATTGGTAAAAACTAATTAAAACTGATATAAAATTGAAAATCTGAAGTCAAAACTAAATAAAAATAAAAACTAATGAAAATTGCAAAACTATTAAAACCCTGACTCCCACACACGATACCATTGTGAGGGTGTATAAATATGGGCGCCAATTGTGGTCATAAATATTTTGTACTTGTAAATTAGGATTTGTATGTGTAAAAATAATTTGTGTGTGCGTAAAAAAGATTTGTGTGTGGACTAATAGGTGTGAAACTCGGCACTCAAGTTACAAGTACGAATTTCGACCCGGTTTTTCTTCCTTTCATCTGATTGGCCCACCTTAAATTTGTTAATCACAAATTTAACTATCCAATCAGAGAACAGGTGGGGTTTGGCTATTGGAGGGGTGATTTATGGAGCATCCCTGGGATAATAAAACTTTATTCTATTCTACTCTTTTTGAAAGAGCAGTTCAAAAATGAAAATTCACAGGGCTTTTACTTTGAAATCCAAAATAAGATGGCCTTGATATTGACAGGGTGCTACTAGGGTACAAGGTTGTGTCATGTGGATCTAACATTAGAGTGTGTAAACAAGACTAAATTATATGTTATTATGTTCTTAACATATCTGTTAATTTACTCGAAGTTGGCTTTTATTTTGAAGTCAGGTTTCCACATCTCTGAATACACAGGAAACAGAAAACAAACTGGAGGCTAGCTTGACTGCAAGTCTCGAATTGGAAGCTGGCTTGACACAAGAGTCTTACAAGCATTAAAAGTAATGATTACAGTTTCAAACATATATTGTACACTTTTTGAGATGTCTGTAACAACAAATGAAGACACTGTTGAAATGCATGAAGCTGCTGCTGTTTGAATGTTTCAGTCTAATGTGTATTTCTCCCTACAGAGTGAACTGGATGTATCCTGTAACACAACCACAGCTGCACACACTGCATGTATAAGAGTCATGCTAAAAGCACAGTGTATATTTTACCAAAGCTCAGTAATTTTTAATTGCTTGTTAACTAATTTCAAATAATAATAATAAATAATATTATTATTTAAAAGCTACTTCATATACATTGTATAGTCAGCTGAAGGACAGTGACCATTGACAAGGACAGAGAATGGCAAAAATAAAATAAAATAACCTGGAGACACACAATAGATTTAGAGCTGAGGTCAAATATTCATGTAAAAATTACCCATCACTAGTTGTTCAGTAGGAGTCTTTGTCTTTCTTTATTTCCTTGTTTCCTTGACCCTTCGCCTTTATCAGATAATGTTCAATCTGGATCGAGTTCATATCATCCTGGATGAGATGATCCAGAACGGACACATTGTGGAAACAAACAAGAGCCGCATCCTCGCACCCCTCACCACTATTGACAAGATGGTGGACAGCTAACAAAAAGAAGAAAGAAAGTCACGGACTGTTCTTCAGGCTGAGGACTGGCCTGCAGCTTACACTCTGAATTTAGAATCTGCTTAAAGGTACTGATGTTAAAATAAAAAGAATAACTCAGTGCCCACATGTACTCTGGTCAGTATATTAATACACATCTGTACAGTGTATCCAGATGTTCGATCTGCACAGCTGAGAGAAGGAAGCCTCCCTCTGAAGTTGGCCAGTTTGAATTTATTCAGGAAGAAAACCGGTTGTGTGAATTTAGCGGGGAATGAATTACATTTTATTTTTTTATTTTTAATTTGCCTTTCGGGGTATTGGCAGACCACAGGAATTGTTTGTAACAAACCAAAACGTAAAGACATTTGGTGGTATTATGTCTAATATGTAATAAAACAATAAAAAAAACCAAAATAAAAATTCTATAACTCTAGTTCATTTTTTTAAATATAATATCCTTAATACTGAAACATCTGTATGATAAGTTTGCAAAAAAATTTAGAAAAAGGCTACAAGATAAATATCTAAATCAATTACATCTCTACGCGGTGATTCTCAGCAACTGGACTGCTGTAGATGATAAATCTGCTTCAGCCTCATGTTGGTTGAAGTGCAGTTGTAATACTGAAACACTTAAACGTGCAAACGAAATGGGAAAAAAAAAAAAAAAGTATCAAAGATTCATATTCTTCCACAGACCACAAGACTCATTCTTTACTTCATACTTTGCAAACATTTTAATGATTATTTTTTTTGGAGCATACACATTTGAAAATATCTGTTTACCTCAAATTGCAACTTGAGTTAAATAAATGTTTATAATATACAAAGAAAATACAGGGATAGCAGAGCTTTCTTTTTTTTTTTTTTTAATCTTTCTCTTTAGATGTGCCTTGCACACAGCCAGTGTTTTTGTCTCTATAGCTTCATTGTAAAACAAACACCAAAGGCTCTCTGACCTTTGACCTTTACAACTGGTCAGTAACAACCAGAGAACTGTCGCACACACACAAAAACAAAAAGCAATAAATGGGGGGAGGTGGGGATCCATGAACATTTCAGGGAGGAGGAAGTGAAAACAGAAGCTACGAGTCAAACCAGGCACCAAACTGAGAGCAGACAGGAGGAGGAGATCAGCGCATACACACGCGCGCGCACACACACACACACACACACACACGCAAGCCTGCAGCATCAAAGCTGGGAACAGACCAGCAGCAGCAGCTCAGGATGGTGAGGAAGAGGATGCTGCTGCTGCTGATGATGAAGGAGGCGGTCAGAGAGGTGTGAAAGATGTGACAGCGTTTCTTTCATTTTGTTTCTGCAACATAAATCCTCCTCCTCCTGTAGCAGGAGGTCCGGCCGTCAGTCAGTCAGCTGGTTTGGATTGGCTGGCTGATCCGTCAGTCACAAGGCGAGACGGACAGATGACTTGAGAAGCATGCTCAGTGTGGCAGCGGTGGTCAGTTGAGGTGGAAGCCTTTCTCCATGGTAGCGGCTAACAGGCGCTCCCTCATGATGTCCTCAGATGAGTACTCGGGCAGCTTCAGGTAGTGAACACAAGTGTTGACAGATGGGTAGCTGGAGTCTGTGGCATCCACCTACGGAGGCAACAGTCAGTCAGCTTACTGACTAAAACTACACACATTAACAAACTCAGTCATTCAGAGAGCCAGTTTACCTTCCTGACGATGGTGAGTCGAGGGTGAAGGTTGGCAAGACCACCAGGTGGCAGGGTGGAGCAGCCAGTGGTAAACTGCAGGAAGGCTTTACGCTCATCAGATGACATTCCACATAAGACTCGCACAAACCGCAAGAAGCCAGGGCTGAAGGAAGAGGAGAGGTTAAATACACGATGCCGTGGCTCAGTGTCTCCATTAGCATTCTCAATCATCCAGGAAAGTAAATCTCCAAAAGTTGATTCTGTTCATCTGGACATAGCGTTACCATGACGCTCCGTCCAGATGAACAGAATCAACTTTTGGTGTTTCCATTAGTGTTGATGTAACATGTCATACCTGTCTCTGGTGTAACCAAGCTTTGGTTCTGTGTAGTTGATGATGTCGTCAGCAGTCCAGGAAGGGGACTGGTTGCCACAGAGGATCATCTGCACCTCCTTATGGCTAAAAGAGCTTAGTTTCTCCATTGGAAACACTCGATTAAAACCCTCTGAGGAGGAGAGGAAACATTTATGATATTAGATACCCAAGTATTCACTCGATTTTAGAAATAATCACAAATTTACTAAACTGCCAGGGAAAGGGAACCAAAAAAGTTTCTTGTCGCAATGGAATCAATTCTATTGTGACAATGAGTCGAGAGAACATAAGGGTCTAAAATGAGAGTCAATCTTTAGGGGAAAAAAAAGTAAGGAGCTCAGGTTAGAAACAGGTGTGAGAATAGACTGGCAGCTGTGTATTTTTCAAAATTTCATGTTGTTGCCAATAGCATCTCCTCCTGTCGGCCTCGGTAAAGCTCAAACTTTACCAAGACCAAGTCCAATTAGGTCAAGGGCGTTCCCAGCATTAAAACAACTGCCTGTGAACACAGAGCACTACTTTCTTGCTTTATGTTGTCCACCTCTTTCCTCGTTTAAACAGGAAACCATTTTATTTTGTGTTTTTGTTTTTTTTCTGAAAAACTAGCAAAGAGGGCAAAACAGATTTCTCCACAGACAGGACACTGTAGAGAAGCAATGTGCCAGTTTTGCACATTTACCTCTGAAGGCCTCCATCTGTTTCTGGATGCCAGTGTGCATACAGAAGTCAAACATCAACTCCACGTACTCTTCTGCATTCTCCATGGACACCATCTATACACATAGTAAACACTCAGTGAACTCTTGTAAAATGTGCAAATTTACGTGAAGATATTTCCATCCACATAAGAAGCTTGCTCTGAGGCATTTTTACCTCATCGTCTCCATTTGGTTTGAGATCCACTGCAGAGAAACCATGAACCTTGGAGGATGGACAGAACTGAAAGTTTAACCTGCAGAGAAAAGTTCAAGTGGCTGTCAAACATCTGGTATATGGGAAAACAAGTCAAAAATCGTAAACTTTCTGCTTTTGCTGTGCAAACTCTTTCACTGCAAATACTGAGCTCAAGTATTCGACAGTCCTGACAGCATGTGTGCTTGTCAGCTGGAACTAGAACACAAGTTATTTACTGAGCTGCTCCTCTGCTCAGATGTTCTTGACCACAACAAAGATTGCCTAGTTAAATCTCAGTACCCAAATACTTCATAAGACTTTATTCTAACCCATGTGGTCTCACATGAAACAAGATTTTTCACATCTCAGTTTCTGGTGAAAACATTATTGTAAGAAAATAGTGCTGTTAAGTGAATGTCATTTTGTTTCAGTCCAGTTGTTTATTTTAAGCAAACAAATGCTAAACCTTTCCTGGTACCACTCATCTTCATCTTTTCCCAAATACCTATGTACCACTTTCTTTTCCATTTCATTTGTCTTTTTTGATTTTTAAATGAATTGCTAATGCTATTATTAGCTCTTGGTAAAGGGTAGCTCCAGTTTGACTTCAGCGTGCTGTGTATGCTGTGATTAGAGCAAGGAGAACCCCCTGAGGCTGATGAACAAAGCCAACACACAACAAAACTGCAGTTTCTTTAGGTACCACTTGAGGCTGGCTCCAAAAGGAAGTGAATCCCTTAGACTTGCACTGTTAAAATGAAACATTTAGAGCATTAAAAACTATATCTACAGTCTGGTATCCCCAAAAGGACTATAGGCGTAACAGTAAAAAGCAGCTATTATCACGGTCCTCTTGGTCTTGGTCTTTACTAACCTCTAGCCCTTCTAAGCAAACACTAAAGATGCAGATCGCGTTACCACAAGAGTAACACCTTCAGCACCTTTGTATGCGTCTTTTCTTACCCGAGGTCCTCGACACTGAGGGGAGGTCCAGAGCCCAGCGGGTTCTTCAGCATCAGGTCCTGCAGCCTAGTGTTCTTCTCATCCTCAGACAAACTCTTACTGGCCAGAATCTGCCTCCTCTTCACTGCCAGATCCTTCACTTCCTTCAGGAAACTCGCCCTGGAGGAGGCAGGAAGAGGAGCGAGAGGAAAAGGGCATCATGAGTCTGCTGTAGTGTAGTTATTCTATTGTTGACCTGCTTTCTTTTCTCTCTGACTTTATCATTTCCTACTCGTTTAGTGCGTCTCTCTCTCCCCATTTGTGTTTCTGCTGCAGACCAGAACAGATCCTAGAATTTCACAAGTTTAAAATACATATTCTTTTTATGCTCTGCCTCCTTAACTTTGCATGTTAATTCTGTCTGAATGAGGTTTCAGTCATGCTTCACTTTAACAAAATTGAACCAAATGTTGTTAAACCACATCAGCTTGTGCAGATGATAACACAAGCCTTTTAGTGTTGGCAGACACTTTCCAAGTTTCTGTTGTTACTGCTTTAAAATTAAGGCTGCTCAGATTTCAAGAAGTTTCAAAATGACCAAAACTCACATCTTATATTTCATGGTTTTCTTAGAACTTAACTTCAGCAGTACTACATGTCACGGGATGTGTTCAGGTTCAGCAGTGAGCTAGAGGGTGACCTGCTTGGGTAAAACATGAGCTTTCAGGCTGACTGTGAGAACGCTAAACATTAAAAACTGTCTCGAGACCTGTGTGGGTTGATAAGCTGGAAGTCGTCCCAGGTCAGGATACCGTGGTACCAAGCTGGAGGTTTTGGTTTTGGTGGGTCCATGATGAACTCCGATTTGGAATCCTCATCAAAGCTGCCCACTGAGTAAGTCTCCTGGCTTTCCTCAGTCGATGCTTCAGACTGTACCTCAGACAGTAGCAGGAAGGGCTGCAGGTGGGGCCGCTCAGGGTCGTTACCCTGCGGTGAGCTTCGAGACTGGTATAGCAGCTTGCTCATGTTAGACTTGATGTCCCCCATGCAGAGCAGCTTAAAGAAGGGCTGTGATATTGGTAGGTCGACCAGCCGGTTGTCCTGAATGCACTTAGCCAAGAAGATGCCCAGGAAGTAGAAGAGTTTGGTGATTCGCTCCAGTTCCTCGCTATCCTGAGGGAACGGAGCTGGAAATAGACCACAGGAACGCTGCACATAGTAACCGGGAGGCTTCAGTCCACCACCCAGGTCCACCTGAGACAAACATAAGAGGGACATCTGTTAATTCTCATCTGTTACTTTAAAATGAGCTACGGCACTGAAGATTCCTGCTGTGGCAAAGAGGAATCAAGGCTCTTTTGGGGTGTTTTCTCCTTAATTTTAAAACGTACTTTTTGTGGTACTTCTTACTAGAGATGGACCGATCCGATATTACGTATCGGTATCGGTCCGATACTGACCTAAATTACTGGATCGGATATCGGAGAGAAATAAAAAAAATGTAATCTGATCCATTAAATATCAAAAAAGCACCTCACAAAACTTGCGACATGGCATAACTCGGCTCATAACCGTATGGCTCATAACCGTAGCATTGGAGCAGTTGCATCACGTGATAGAGCGGCTGTGGCGGAGACCTGTCGGCGGTCTGGTTGAGTATTTGGAGCCTCGCTACCAAACCGGCATTTCATCTCCGAGGAAGTGATCCCAGAGAGAAGTAAAGCAAGTGTGTAAGTTCATCTCTGAATGTTTGTAAAGCATTCCAGTGTTAAGCTTAACAACCGATATATGGAGCGACTGCCTTCTCTCCCCCTCCCTCTCCTGCTGCTACTTCAAACGTGAAACTGATTAATGATCAGCTGATCGGCTTTTCTGTCACGAGTCTGTTTCTCTTGTTTGTTTATCGCCCACTTTGCGCCACAAAGAGGAAACCAGCAGCTGAACAACAGCAGCACGTTTAAGCTTGATAAGCTGTTGTTAGAATTTATTCAATATTACTTTCTACACCAGGATCCTTTTCTACTTTAAAATGTCGAGCTCTTTAATAAATAATTATCTGAATCTTACACCCAAAGTTTTAATCTGATGTAAAATGTATAGAAGTCCATTACTGTATATAGTAACTATTAAGTCTAATATACCCTAGTAAGCTATAGTACTTTTTCCTTTGGGAAGGTACCATCTGTGCAGTCTGCAGTTCTGTTGAAGAAAGATGTTGAATCTATTTAATTATTCTTGAAAAATAATTGATTTCTGTGCATTTTTTTCACACTGCATCAAATTAAAGTTGATTACGTCGATTAAGCATCATGAGGTGGAGGGTGGTTCCCTATTTTTTTATTTTTTTTTGCTGGGAGTTTGCAACCCTATTAGTTAGGTTGCTTACTCTTTAAAATACCAGAATAGGGAGGATGGAGCAGGTTTAAGTTTATTAGATTGATCAGTATTGCTGAACTATGAAATATTTTGGGTGCAGTGTATTTTTTGCATACAGGTATAACAGAATAGCTTTAGTGTTTTGTTTATTTAAACTTGAGTTGAACATACAAAATGCAGCAAGATATTATAAAAACAGTTTTATTGATTAGAAACACGCTATATCGGATTCATATCGGTATCGGCCGATATCCAAATTTATGATATCGGTATTGGACATAAAAAAGTGGTATCGTGCCATCTCTACTTCTTACATAAAAAAAGCATCATCACTGTCACTGTTTGATAAATTTATCCCTATTTTTAAACTTACATTATTTTCCCTTGCTTAATGACCACTGGCTTTTAATGCCACCTTCAAATTTGATCACAGCTACTAAGACAGACTAGCACTGACATTACAACATTTAAATATATAACACTAATGCTACTGCTACTACTGCTACTACTACTACTACTACTACTACTACTACTACTACTAATAATAATAATAATAATAATAATAATAATAATAATAATAATAACAACAACAACAGCAACAATAACAACCCTTTTCTATTATTATTTTGCCATACTAACCTCATTGTTTGATCCTCATTTTAATGTCTCCTAATATGACAGAATGGGATTCTTCACCAATTTTACTTTTAAACCTGTCACTTTGTGAACGTGGTAATACTGACCTGTCGTGACTCATCGTCAGGGAAGTCATCATCACACAGCCAGATTCCCAGTGACGTTTTCTGAAACTCTGCAGCCACCAGAGCATAAAACTCCAGAGTTGGACCGAGACCCGTTCCCTCCTCACCCTGAAACTCCACCTGGAAACACACACAGACACACTTAGCCTGGCATGCCACGGACCGATAATTGTAATGCATGTTGCAAATCTAGCAGTAGACACAGAAGGTTTTCTTTTGTAATTTGTTAAAAACAAACCACCTCTCACCTCTAGCACAGACTTTTGGTCAGCATGGATGTGCATGACGGACTCAGCCCATTCCATCATAGTCTCTCCTCTGGGAACTTTCACTCGTTCATGTTTCAGTCGACCCACCCTGAAGTCACCAGGATCGTCCCGCCGCACTGTGGTGGACGGCCGAGAACGCTCCATGGTTGCCTCTCGACGGTTCTGGAGCCACACAATTGCCCTGCAGACAGAGTGGGGTCAGAGGCCAGAGTGTTGGAAGTACACCAACAGGACGTGGTCTTCAAGGTTAAACTTTAAAAAGGCCAAATTCTAATGTCGATAACGGGACTTTCTACCGTCTTTGAAGACCAAAATGCTAAATCTGTCAGTCATAAAATGATGTTTTCAAAGAATCACATTTAAATCGATAACAAAAGAAATTGTTGTTGATTTTATTTTATTATTTTACTTTACAATTTTTATGTTATAAGCACAAAGGAGCACATTTTTAAGTTGTGTTGTGAGGGTCTCTCCCTTGTAATATCAAGTGTCTTGAGGGAACTACTGCTATGGACTGGAGCTATACAAATAAAACTGAGCTGAGATGCCTCAAGTTATGTGTGGTATGTTTGTTTACTCCTGTATCACACTCACCTGGAGGCTCCAAAAGCAGTGCAGGTAAAATAGAGCTGTCGGGTCTCAAAAGGGATGAGGAAAGGACACTTGGAGGTGAGTTGTTCACACCAGTCGGGCAGCGCTCCACTTGCAAGGGCTAGAGGCTCCTGGGAAACCAAAACATTCAATTAAAATCTGACATCGTTAACTAATGAACTATAGCACTCACTGGAGCTTGTATTGCATTTAGGGTTTTTTCCACCATAATTGTCTGAGGTTTCAGCAGGTTACACATTTTAATCACTATACTGAAACCTGGTGTTGCACGTTGTGCACTACAACACATTATTTATTTATTTATTTTTATTTATTAACCTTTATTTAACCAGGAAGA